CTGAGCCTACCACTCTCCATAGTGTATAACAAATCACTGGCAACAGGGAACTGCCAGATATTTGGAAAGCTGCTAACGTAGTCCCGATATACAAGAAAGGGGATAGACAGGAGGCACTGAACTACAGGCCAGTGTCCCTAACCTGCATACCATGCAAGCTGATGGAGAAGATTGTGCGAAAAAAACTAGTGGAGCATCTGGAGCGAAGGAACTTTGTAACACAGCATCAACATGGGTTCAGGGATGGCAGGTCCTGCCTCACAGGGTTACTTGAATTCTACGACCAGGCAACAAAAATAAGGCAAGAAAGAGAAGGGTGGGCAGACTGCATATTTTTGGATTGTCAGAAAGCCTTTGATACAGTGCCACACAAGAGGCTAGTGCGAAAGTTGGAGATGCAGGCTGGAGTGAGAGGGAAGGTACTCCGGTGGATAGAGGAATACCTAAGCAACAGGAGACAACGAGTCTGTGTGAGGGGTGAGGTCTCAGATTGGCGAGACGTCACAAGTGGAGTCCCGCAGGGGTCAGTCCTTGGACCTATACTGTTTCTGGTATATGTAAATGATCTCCCAGAGGGTATAGATTCGTTCCTCTCAATGTTTGCCGACGATGCAAAAATTATGAGGAGGATTGAAACAGAGGATGATAGTAGGAGGCTACAAGATGACCTGGATAGACTGAGTGAATGGTCCAACAAATGGCTGTTGAAGTTCAACCCGAGTAAATGCAAAGTAATGAAACTAGGCAGTGGAAACAGGAGGCCAGGCACAGGATACAGAATAGGAGATGAAGTACTTAATGAAACAGACAGAGAGAAAGATCTAGGAGTTGATATCACACCAAACCTGTCTCCTGAAGCCCACATAAAGAGAATAACGTCTGCGGCATATGCGAGGCTGGCTAACATCAGAACGGCGTTCAGGAACCTGTGTAAGGAATCATTCAGAATCTTGTACACCACATATGTAAGACCAATCCTGGAGTATGCGGCCCCAGCATGGAGCCCGTACCTTGTCAAGCACAAGACGAAGCTGGAAAAAGTCCAAAGGTATGCTACTAGACTAGTCCCAGAACTAAGAGGCATGAGTTATGAGGAAAGGCTGCGGGAAATGCACCTCACGACACTGGAAGACAGAAGAGTAAGGGGGGACATGATCACAACCTACAAAATCCTCAGGGGAATCGACCGGGTAAACAAGGACGAACTTTTCAACACTGGTGGGACGCGAACAAGGGGACACAGGTGGAAGCTGAGTACCCAAATGAGCCACAGAGACGTTAGAAAGAACTTTTTCAGTGTCAGAGTAGTTAGCAAATGGAATGCATTAGGAAGTGATGTGGTGGAGGCTGACTCCATTCACAGTTTCAAATGTAGATATGATAGAGCCCAATAGGCTCAGGAATCTGTACACCAGTTGATTGACGGTTGAGAGGCGGGACCAAAGAGCCAGAGCTCAACCCCCGCAAGCACAATTAGGTGAGTACAATTAGGTGAGTACACACACACACACACACACACACACACACACACACACACACACACACACACACACACACACACACACACACACACGGGTGTGTGTGTGAAAGGTCCTAGCATGGATAAGGAACTACCTAACAGGAAGGAGCCAAAGAGTTACGGTAAGGGGCGAGAAGTCGGACTGGCGAACAGTAACAAGTGGAGTACCACAAGGATCGGTGCTGGGACCAATTCTATTTCTTGTATATGTTAACGACATGTTTACAGGCGTAGAGTCCTACATGTCGATGTTTGCGGATGACGCAAAGTTGATGAGAAGAGTTGTGACAGATGAGGATTGCAGGATCCTCCAAGAGGACCTGAACAGGTTGCAGAGATGGTCAGAGAAATGGCTACTGGAATTCAACACGAGCAAATGTAAAGTTATGGAAATGGGACTAGGAGATAGGAGACCAAAGGGACAGTACACAATGAAGGGGAACAGCCTACCTGTAACGACGCGTGAAAGAGACCTGGGGGTGGACGTAACACCTAATCTATCTCCTGAGGCACATATAAATAGGATAACGACAGCAGCGTACTCTACACTGGCAAAAGTTAGAACATCATTCAGAAACCTAAGTAAGGAGGCATTTAGGGCGCTTTACACTGCCTACGTGAGGCCAGTCTTAGAGTATGCCGCCTCATCATGGAGTCCCCATCTGAAGAAGCATATAATGAAACTGGAAAAGGTTCAGAGGTTTGCAACGAGACTCGTCCCAGAGCTACGAGGGATGGGGTATGAGGAGCGCCTGAGGGAACTGTGCCTTACGACACTAGAAAGAAGAAGGGAGAGGGGGGACATGATAGGAACGTATAAGATACTCAGAGGGATTGACAGAGTGGACATAGACGAAATGTTCACACGGAATAGTAACAGAACGAGAGGACATGGATGGAAGCTTGAAACTCAGATGAGTCACAGAGATGTTAGGAAGTTTTCTTTTAGCGTGAGAGTAGTGGGGAAATGGAATGCACTTCAGGAACAGGTTGTGGAAGCAAATACTATTCATAATTTTAAAACCAGGTATGATAGGGAAATGGGACAGGAGTCATTGCTGTAAACAACCGATGCTCGAAAGGCGGGATCCAAGAGTCAATGCTCGATCCTGCAGACACAACTAGGTGAGTACATATATGTGATTTCACACACACACACACACACACACACACACACACACACACACACACACACACACACACACACACACACACACACACACACACACACACACACGTGCGAAATGTGACGTTCTTAGTACGAGGACAGGTTGCATAACTAACCACTGTTCCGAGGCGGAGCCAGGAGCTACAGCACAACCGCGGCAAAAACCCATAAACAGACGAGGAGTCACAATAACGGGGCTGAAGTATGTTGACCAGACCACACACTAGAAGGTGAAGGGACGACGACGTTTCAGTCCCGTCCTGGACCATTCTCAAGTCGATTGTGGTCCAGGACGGACCGAAACGTCGTCGTCCCTTCACTTTCTAGTGTGTGGTCTGTTCAACAAGACCCATAACAGCGGTGAACCACATCAAATTGTTTCAATTTGTACTCACTGGATTTGTGGACCCCTTGACGGACTTGAAGTAGAGGAGGGTAGATATAGCCTAAGCTACTCTAACCCTGCGAGGGGTAGACATAGCCTAAGCTACTCTAACCCTGCGAGGGGTAGACATAGCCTAAGCAACTCTAACCCTGCGAGGGGTAGACATAGCCTAAGCTACTCTAACCCTGCGAGATGTATTCTATTGCCTCAAGAAACGTATTTGAACCTGAAGACCTCTCATTATATGTCATAATAATCCTCAAAATAATCCTTGCAAGACACAAATGACAAAATTAACAAAACAGAATACAATCCTTTACGATTTTCTCCGCAGCTCAAAAAATTTCACGAGAATTTCAAAATCAAATCAAATGTTTATTCAGGTAAAGTACATACATACAAGGTGAGATAAAAACATTGATGGATTTATAGATAAAGCTAGTACATACAAAGCCTAAAGCCACTATTACGCAAAGCGTTTCGGGCAGTACTTAATTGAAATATTAAGTTTCCATCTTTCCGGAACGAGAACTTTTCCATACTGAGAGAGGAATTGATAACTTTACACAGTAACTGGATTTAAGTTTAATAAGATGAGAAGTTAACGGGGAATTAACTTTTTATCTAGTTGCATTTCTGCCACTTTAATGCCGCTCGGCAAGCCTGGGCTGAGCTTGTCAAGCCTAGGCTGAGCTTGGCAAGCCTAGGCTGAGCTTGGCAAGCCTGGGCTGAGCTCGGCAAGCCTGGGCTGAGCTAGGCAAGCCTGGGCTGAGCTTGGCAAGCCTGGGCTGAGCTTGGCAAGCCTGGGCTGAGCTTGGCAAGCCTGGGCTGAGCTTGGCAAGCCTAGGCTGAGCTTGGCAAGCCTGGGCTGAGCTTGACAAGCCTGGGCTGAGCTTGGCAAGCCTGGGCTGAGCTTGGCAAGCCTGGGCTGAGCTCGGCAAGCCTGGGCTGAGCTTGGCAAGCCTAGGCTGAGCTTGGCAAGCCTGGGCTGAGCTAGGCAAGCCTGGGCTGAGCTCGGCAAGCCTGGGCTGAGCTCGGCAAGCCTGAGCTGAGCTTGGCAAGCCTGGGCTGAGCTAGGCAAGCTTGGGCTGAGCTTGGCAAGCCTAGGCTGAGCTTGGCAAGCCTAGGCTGAGCTTGGCAAGCCTGGGCTGAGCTTGGCAAGCCTGGGCTGAGCTTGGCAAGCCTGGGCTGAGCTTGGCAAGCCTAGGCTGAGCTTGGCAAGCCTGGCTGAGCTTGGCAAGCCTGGGCTGAGCTTGGCAAGCCTGGGCTGAGCTTGGCAAGCCTGGGCTGAGCTTGGCAAGCCTGGGCTGAGCTTGGCAAGCCTGGGCTGAGCTTGGCAAGCCCAGACTGAGCTTGGCAAGCCTAGACTGAGCTTGGCAAGCCTGGGCTGAGCTTGGCAAGCCTGGGCTGAGCTTGGCAAGCCTGGACTGAGCTTGGCAAGCCTGGGCTGAGCTTGGCAAGCCTAGGCTGAGCTTGGCAAGCATGGGCTGAGCTTGGCAAGCCTGGGCTGAGCTTGGCAAGCCTGGGCTGAGCTTGGCAAGCCTGGGCTGAGCTTGGCAAGCCTAGGCTGAGCTTGGCAAGCCTGGGCTGAGCTTGGCAAGCCTGGGCTGAGCTTGGCAAGCCTAGACTGAGCTTGGCAAGCCTAGACTGAGCTTGGCAAGCCTGGGCTGAGCTTGGCAAGCCTAGACTGAGCTTGGCAAGCCTGGGCTGAGCTTGGCAAGCCTAGGCTGAGCTTGGCAAGCCTGGGCTGAGCTTGGCAAGCCTGGGCTGAGCTTGGCAAGCCTGGGCTGAGCTTGGCAAGCCTGGGCTGAGCTTGGCAAGCCTAGGCTGAGCTTGGCAAGCCTGGGCTGAGCTTGGCAAGCCTGGGCTGAGCTTGGCAAGCCTGGGCTGAGCTTGGCAAGCCTGGGCTGAGCTTGGCAAGCCTGGGCTGAGCTTGGCAAGCCTGGGCTGAGCTTGGCAAGCCTGGGCTGAGCTTGGCAAGCCTAGACTGAGCTTGGCAAGCCTAGACTGAGCTTGGCAAGCCTGAGCTGAGCTTGGCAGTTGAAATCATCTGTAGGCATACAATATAGCCACCACCTGTCACCTGTAGTGATGGATATACAGGCTTCATGTCTCCGAAAACTGAGACATATGTTATAAATATTTATAACAAAATACACCGCTGGTGCCAGATATTTGGTAAAGTTATATCTAAATAAATTATTGGCATATTTAAATCAAAACAGATTCGTGAAGGTAAGTTTAAAATCTTAACTTACCAGTTGATGAACCAAATTCTCGTCTATTAATTCAAAGTTGCGATGCAAGTTGCACAGGGATAATGTTAACTTTAAGTATATTTTGATTGATTAAGTGAGTATACACTTGAGAAGGGAGCGTGACACGCACACCATCCTCCACCGGTGGCTGCTGCCGTACTAACTGTTGCTGTGGCTGCCCGCGCTGACCTCACCTCCCCTGCCACGTGCTCCACCCCGCTGCCAGACGTCCTCTTGTTTATCAACCAGCCTGTTAATGTATCAACATAAGACGGTGACATGTTGGCAGCTTATGTTCTTCTGGCTGCTTCCGTTCCTGTGGCAGGCTCATTCGGTCCATCTTCTGCACTGGCCCTGCGTCTTGAAGTGGGTAGAGTGTGTGTATCAGCTGGTTATTGATTGTTGGTCTAGATTTCTTGATACGCAGCGCTTCACTGATGTCTAATCTTTTATTGTTATTGTATCTATCAACTATTTCGGTGTTGCTCGTCAAAGTATCCCTGGTGAATGACGATTATATGGTCCTTGATGGAGCCCTGTTGTTTGTGCATTGTTAACCGCCTAGAGAGAGATGTTGTTGTCTTGCCTATATACTGAGTTCGTTAGGGCTGACAACCCCCAAGTGAGCACGTGAAGGCTTAGACAACTTTGGTCTCTTTCAAGACGTTTTTCTTGGTGTCGGGAGAATTCTTCATTAGCAGGTCGCCAACCTGCTGCTAGCAATAGGTGATTATCAATGAACAAACAACAGGGCTCCACCAAGGAACATATAATTGTCCATCAAGTTTCCAGGATAGTTACAGCACAGTAGCAAGGCTACAGGAGCTGCCAAGACATGTTGTGTAGAGGCCAGGTAAATCACCAGACAATAGGCTATTTAATAATAATAATAATAATAATAATAATATGATTTATAATATGCCAGCCCATCCTCGTGTTTAGGTAGCATGTATACATGTAGTAACTATGTGTACCATCCTACATATATTGACGTAAAAGGCAGTTAGAAAATAGAACTCGGTATTATTGAATTTAGACAAAGCGGAAGAGGTTTTGTGTTGATGTTGCAAAGACAACTAAACCTAACCTTCCTAGGCCTAAAAGACGCTATCAGAGGCCTAATATAGTATATATATATGTGCTACACTAGGCCTAGTAACATTTCAGATTGGTTTGAATTTTTTTCAGGCTCCATGAAGTGAATAGTTCCACAATTACTATGTAATTGCCTTTTACGTCCATATATGTACGACAGTGCACATATATACAAAAAGTATCATCTAAGCAGGAGGACGGGTCACCATATGTACTCTCTACATAAGCCACTACTCACATATTAGCCTAAGATTTGGAATAATATGTAAGTTTTACATAAATATTTCTAAATTGAACAATAGTTATATATTTATCTTTAAATTCGCCGATTTCTCAAGATGCAACTACGCAATGGTGGACGTAATAGCAATCTTGCAGACAAAGATTATATTTGGCCAAGAATCTATCAATAATTCTTACAACCTCTTAGAGAGACTTGTAGAGGAGCCTAGTCCCTGGTAACGGTATTTTCATGGAGTTCTTCATTTTCACTTCAATGAAGGAAGAGTTATAGGGTGTGTGTCTGTATTTATTATTTTATATTATATATTTGTATCTGCAGGATCGAGGTGTTAGCTCCTGGACCCGGCATTTCTAACCCAGGTTGTTACCGGAAGGATCTTTATCCAAGTTGGTGAAGGATAACCGGACCTTTGTCGTTATCCTGCTGATATCTGCCTCTGGTGTTAGATATCCAGGGGCTGAGGGAAGGGGGGGGGGTAAGGAGGGGTGGGGGAGGGGGGGGGTGAAGATGGAACACTATTCACAACCCACTATTCATTTCACACCAAATTAATTCTCCAATTCCTATGAAAAATATCAATTTTCCTGGGGGCGACGCCCCACGCCAACCACAACAGCCCGCTCCGCCTCTCAGTCCTGGATACATTATATATATATATATATATATATATATATATATATATATATATATATATATATATATATATATATGTTGCGTACAAGCATTCATAGAGAAAAAAATAAAAATTGGAAGAAATAACTATTCATTTTTATTTTAGCTGGATATTAAGGTACCTATTTACTGCTAGGAGAATAGAGGCATCAGGGTGAAAGAAACTCTGCCCATTTGTTTCCGCCATCGCCGGGGATCGATCCCCGGTCCATAGGATTACTAGTCCCAACCACTGTCCACTCAGCCACCAGGCCCCATAACATACACACATGATAAAAACTTTGAGGCGCTGGTGGCTGACTGGACAGCACACTGGACGCGTAATCCTGTGGTCGCGGGTTCGATTCCCGCCACCGGCGAGAAACAATGGGTGGAGTTTCTTTCACCCTGATGCCCCTGTTACCTAGCAGTAAATAGGTACCTGGGGCCAGATTCACGAAGCAGTTACGCAGGTACTTACGAACGTGTACATCTTTCCTCAATCTTTGACGGCTTTGGTTACATTTATTAAACAGTTTACAAGCATGAAACATGAAATTGTACAAGCCAATCAACTGTTGTTATTGTTATAAACAGCCTCCTGGTGCTTCCGAGCTCATTAACTGTTTAATAATTGTAAACAAAGCCGCCAAAGATTGAGAATAGATGGACAGGTTCATAAGTGCTTGCGTAACTGCTTCCTGAATCTGGCCCCTGGGAGTTAGTCAGCTGTCACGGGCTGCTTCCTGGGGGGTGTGGGGGGGGGGAGAAAAAAATAGTATTAGTAACAGTTGATTGACAGTTGAGAGGCAGGACCAAAGAGCCAGAGCTCAACCCCCGCAAGCACAACTAGGTGAGTACACACCTGGTTGTTGGTAGTTTATCGCTGTGTACTCACCTAGTTGTGCTTGCGGGGGTTGAGCTTTGGCTCTTTGGTCCCGCCTCTCAACCGTCAATCAACTGGTGTACAGGTTCCTGAGCCTATTGGGCTCTATCATATCTACACTTGAAACTGTGTATGGAGTCAGCCTCCACCACATCACTGACTAATGCATTCCATTTACACACGCCCTTACCACACCAGAACGAGTGTTAAAGACTCATTACGCTGCCACGGCTGTCAACGGGCAGCAGGAGCTATAGAAGAATCCTTCCTCGTGATATTTACAGCTTAAAAGCTTTCTCTTAACGATAATATTTTGTATATTAACGGTATTGTTAATAAATATCTGACTGCGGACAAACTTGTGCAACCAAAGAAAACGAAAACAGAAAACTCCATAGAAAACGTTGCAACTTGAGGCGTAACTTAACTTCTCGGCGAAAATATTAATTCTGCTTCCATTGTCGGGGACAGGAAGCCCGTACATAAGTTTACCGAGCTCCTTCCCCTTAGGTCATCTACCCATCCTTCCCAAGATGCAACCCTCAGCATTTGTCTAACTCCCCGGTACCTATTTACTGCTAGGTGAACAGAAACAGCAGGTGTAATGACCCCTATAAGGCCTAGGCTAACTACCGACCTTTCTTAGGATGCAACCCACAACGGGTACCTACTTACTGCTAGGTGAACAGCGGCATTAGGTCAAAGGAAACGTGCCTAACCATTTCAGTCACGCCCGGGTGTCGAACCCGGGATCCTGGGTTGTGAGTAGAGAACATAGCAACCTGCAGCTACTGCACAGCAAGCAATGGATGTATATTATAGGAGTCGTGTCATTACAGTCAGGTTGATCCAGAGGAGTTGAGGGTATGTGTATACATTACTGCATCTTAAGCCGTCTTCTATACATATGTATTCCTTTTGTATTAGTGCCTGTGAATATATTGTATACATATATTATCTATAGTTTAGCATTAGAATTTGAAGTTATTTCTATTCATTGAAATATTATGTTACGTACACTTATACACTGACCAATTTTTCATCCTGTGGGTGGTAGTGGACCCTATACCCATCCTGTGGGTGGTAGTGGACCCCATACCCATCCTGTGGGTGGTAGTGGACCCTATACCCATCCTGTGGGTGGTAGTGGACCCTATACCCATCCTGTGGGTGGTAGTGGACCCTATACCCATCCTGTGGGTGGTAGTGGACCCTATACCCATCCTGTGGGTGGTAGTGGACCCCATACCCATCCTGTGGGTGGTAGTGGACCCTATACCCATCCTGTGGGTGGTAGTGGACCCTATACCCATCCTGTGGGTGGTAGTGGACCCCATACCCATCCTGTGG